AACAGGAAGATGTATAATATTTACCCAAAAGTTTAGCTGACAGCAATAATGATGGCTAATGAAAACAAAGGGACAACATTTTATGAGAGTTTGGTATTTTGACCCAATTGAATCATCTGATGTGTTCTATTTTCAGTGTGGATTTTATGTTAAAATAGCCATAGCTTGCTCTTATAACAAGTAAAATGCTTAAGTTCATTGTAAGGTCTCTTTCATCTGGGGAGAAGACATGTAAAAAAAAAAAAAAGTAAAAAAATAAAAAACCACAGACTGCTTTAAAACTTTCTTTTATTACTAAATTCATTCTGGTAACATCCTTCTGCCTACTGCATTATGCACTGAAAATCTAGCAATTAAATTCTAGCTCATTGCTCAAGATTCAAGATCTGTTTAAAAAATTTACTTTGTATTACAGAATGTCAGTTGAAAGTACCTGTGTTACGATGGTCAAATATTTCATTACAAGGTGTCCCACTAATCCAACACAAACATGAAGGTAGTTTACCTGGAATGTTTTCACAGAACAACTTAAAGACCTAGATGACCATTATGTATGACTTCCAAGATAAATTACAAATTCTAAAGGCTATTTTTCTTAACAAAGTTATTCTTAAATTAATCCATATAAATATTTTTCATATTTAATTTATTATACTAAATAAGTCTGTCAAGCCTTCATCTGGAGATATCAAAAGATATGTGTTGCCTTGCTTTTATGAATTATTAGTTACTGGAATAATCTTAAGAAGCTTTACTTATGTTTTTACTTTAATGTCTGTCATCGTATGCAAAACATATTACATCCTCCCTAAGCTGATATTTCATGATAGGGAATCACAGATCTTTCCATAAGCAAAGCAGGATCCAGAATCTTTGAAGACCTGCACTAATTCCCAACACCCAGCTCTCCATATGAGGTGGAGGGAGAAATATGAGGTACCTACAGAAAACTGATATTGCCTAGTGACTTGGGAAGAGGAGGTAGAAGGTGTGATTCGTTTACATATTTACCTACCTGCGGTAACAGATAAAAAAACCCATGTATTTAAAAAATAACATCTAAAATGCTAAACTTTATATGATTAAAAAAAAATAAAAATAAAACAAAACCTTAACCAAATTTCTGTCAGAGGCATCTTTATCATAGCTCTATCTTCTTACAAAAAGATTGCAATAAACAATTTAGTAAAAGCATGTGTTACATTTGGAACATTATAGGCTTAATTCAGTTGCCCATACATAGGCACATGGTGCCATTTAAGATGCTCTTGGTGCCTACCTAGCCTCCAGCTGCCATCCAAGAAGGCACATCATAGATTCTGTGTCGCATCTGACAGCCCCCGTTTCAACACCTAACATTAAAAAACAAAATCAGATAATGCAGTATTCAATAACTATAACTGAGGTTTACTTTTAGAGTGGTTATCAGCTTGTTTTTCTTCTATAACCAGATTTCATAAATTATATACTAGTCAGTAGCTTAGATAAAAAATTCTATCCAACATTCTTATAATCTCTAATAGACACAAGCATAAAATAATGATATAGGAAATAGTGAGATAGAGATTTACACATCTAAATGCAATCTCTAGTCTATTTCCCCTGCTAATAATAGAACTGCTTAGATTTAGCAGCAGGAGACAACTGCATGTCAGAGTGGCATAGTACAAAATGAGAAACTTTTAATACCTGTGAAAAAAATGACATTATTAGCATAACCTATAATATATTGTATTTCCATTAGTTAACAATAACATTTGTTTGATCTATACAGAGCAATTCTGGCTAGGAAAATCTAATTCATGGACACAGTCTTATTACGGCGTTGAAGACCAACAGGACTATTGCTGCCTTTCCTGCACACCACAGGAATTCCAGGGACAGACTGTAAGGACACACTCACATTTAATTATTATGAAAATGTCACATAAAGAATGAGAAGGCAGTTAAATCAACGTACAAAGATTTAAAATGGAAGCTGCTAAGGTTTTAATAACACTCTGCATGTGAATTATGCGTTGAATAACACACAAATGTATTATGAAGCTTTAGCTGGTATAAAGCAGTTTCTTACAGCTTAATGCATTTGAAAAGAGAATGGCTGTACTTTGTGGTAACAGAAATGCCAAGTGTGAATCAAACCCTTACTTTAATTCACTTAATTATAGCTGCAGTTAAGGCAAAAAGCCATGTTTAAATATTTTCTCTTTAGCTGGCAAAAGTGGAGAGACAACATTCATTTCCTCATATTTATTGGATCACAGTAACGGAACCCCAGCCATTCGCTACACTGCCATGCACCCTCTTGGCATTCCTCCCTCACCAGCCATTTCCCTTTTCACGTGCTGCAACACCTCCAGCCTTACCTCTGTGTCCCAGGACACCCAACCATGCCAATGTCATGAGCATCTACAGGAGCAGGTGAAGCTAGAGAAGCAATTTTGGAGGAAGCCAACACACTCAGCACTTGGTGTATTGGGTGCCCATGCCCAGGCATTGGTGAGAGTCTGTGAGGGGAGGTCATGGCTGCCTTGTGCTCAACATGTCCGGTTCCAACTGTTTCCACAGCAGCCCCACCACAGGGCATGGCTGATGGTGGGGTAGGTTTGAGAAGTGGGAAACTGCATGGCTATGAGGAAAAACGTGTGAGAAATGAGCCTTGCAGGCACCCAGGTTGGAGAAGGAGGAGGAGCTTTGGTTGCCTGAGCAGAGACACCCCTGGAGGCACTGTGGTGGAGCAAATGTTTTCCTGAAGGACTGCAGGGCAGCCTGTGGAGAAGATCCATTCTGAGGCAGGGGAAAAGCATAAGTTCTACATTGCATAAGCTAAGAACAGAATATGTACTTGCTTTGCCACAAGCCATGTAAACAGTCTCTGGAAAAAATCCAACCTAAGACCACCTTGCCTCAGCAAGTGCAAGCAACAGCATCAGCAGCCATTTTGAAGGTGGCTTGTGGTGGCCTTATGTAAAGTCTCTCTTCAGATTCTTCTTCATTTTACTCACTAATGAAGAAAGAATGAGCAGCTCTGTTCTTCCAGTATAGTCACTGCAATAAATAAAAAAAATAATAAAAAAAACCCCAAACAATCCACCAAAACAAACAAACAAAAAAACACCAAACAACCCATGTTGATGTACTAGGTTCTAGCTATAGACTAATTAATAACCCTCTGCAAGAAAAATTAGCATGTTAAGGAGTATTTTCAAGAAGGCATTTTAATTGCACTGCAAAATTTTTACCTCATATATATAATCATAGAATGGTTTGGGTTGGAAGGGACTTTAAGATCAAGTTCCAACCTGCTGCCATGGGCAGGAACACTTTCCCCTAGATGGGTCCAACCTGGCCTTTAACAGAGCTGGGGCAACCACAGCTTCCCTGGGCAACCTGTGCCAGTGCCTGTGTCAGTGCTCTCATAGTGAAGAGCTTCTTCCTTATAGCTAACCTATATATATGGAAACATTGTTCCATTTAAAAAAGGCCTCATCACAGTCATGACAGAACCTGACAGCTCAGATTTAACCTAGCAGCTCAGATTTGTCCTGACCACTCCTTAGGATTTAAATAGCAGTCTTCAGCCTCAGCCCCATCCCTACACCTGCTTCAGCTGGAAGCAAGCAAGAACATCCAAAATTTACACAGATGGACCCCTTTTGGCCTCAGGACAGCTGCCAACCCTTCAAAAGCCATTGCTGTTCTGTTCCCACTGCTCCACCTCTGAGACACCAACCATGATATTTCATGTACATTTAGTACTAACATGAAATATTCATGACACTTTCCAGCTTTGAGTTCTGTTTAGTGTGTCATCTCAAACCTCAAATTGGCACCAAAAATCCTGTACAACTGGAAATGTCAGTCCCTAAACCATGAATGCTGCAGTTAAGTGAGCTGCTTCATAAAATCACAATTAAAAGTTTATTTGCGTGGTACACAATCAACACTCTACACTTGAAATTTTCTTATCATTGTGGTGATACAAGAACTTTTTAAGAGATCTTAAAGGATTTCAACCTGCATTATCTCATTATTCTTACATAACCTGTCAATAAATCAATGCATTGTGTATAATGGAAGTGACTGCCATATTCTTAACTGTCTACCCCCATTACCCCCAATAAAACTCACTGTGTCATTCCCAAGCATTTAAGACCTCACACCTCAACCTCCAATGCAATATGAAGTCTTCATACTGCAGCATCCCATCTCTAAAAACCTACAAGAGTGCAAACTGGCCCCAGCCAGGATTTTAGGTTACCCATTGGGCTTCCCTTCCTTCATATACAACCTTGCCCACAGCCTCTGATCACCTGCACAAGGGGAGGAGGGACATGATGGCAGCAAATGGTCTGTAGGACAATGTGAATGAAAGCAAAATCTCAACCCACAACGAAGTGGAGGATGCATGTTGAGGGCCAGCTCAAATGATGCAGGAACATCAAGTGGCACAACACAGAGGTTCAGCCAGGGCACCCACCGCAGAACAGTGACATGGCAAGAATGTTGCACAATGGGGACACTTGCAAGGTAGAGCTGATGTGCAGCCAAGAGAACAAGAGATGTCCAAGAAAAGGCTGTGGTCAGCCTGCCACAGCTGCATGCCATGTGTGGTGTCACAGGAGGAAAGGGCTGAACCTGAGCACTTTCATGCTCACAGCCACCTTAACTGAGTGGTGGAGGACACAGCCTGCAGGCTGGCTAGAGGCAGGCCCTCACCCAGGTCTGGTAGAGGATCTGGGAGCCACATGCCCAGGAATCGCACCTCAATACTCATCTGCTCAAGAAATGGTGCTTTAGCATGCCAGCAACCTCCTTCCCAGGATTATGGGCATGGAAAGTCAGTTTTCAGTTCTTCCCCAAGGTGGACAAAATGCTTAATTCCAGTTCAAAGGATTGGAAGGTGTTTAAATAAAATAAAAGTTTACACAAACACACAGCGTCTGAAAGAGCAGAGGTAGTGCCAGGAACAGCCTGCAGTGTGAGACAAAGGGTCTCACCTTCCACAGATTCTAGCCCCAGATTCAGGTACTTCCACCTGCTCTCCAGCAAAGTTCTTTGAAGCAGCAATGCTCTGATATATTGAGAACTCCTTCTTAAACACCTCAATAATTCTCACACTTCTACTGTTGCCTCCTCCAAAACTCTACCCCTCAAGCCCAGAAAAAAGATAAACACCACTTAAAAAAAAAAAAGAAAGAAAAACAAAAAAAAGATATATATATACACTTTGAAATCCTACCAAAATCTGATTTCTGCTATGTTACCCACTGACTATTCAGCATCCTTCCATGGCTTTAAGAGTAGCTGCCAAGAAGTGGCCTTCAACTTGCTCAAACTGTAGAGGCAAGTTACAGCTGGATGTCGATATTTTACACTAATCCTGATTATTAAGCATTTAAAAATATACAAGTTACTTAAGCTTTAAACAATGTGCCAAAGACCAAAGCTTCTCCTTTACTTCAAAAAGATGGTATATTAGTTCTGCTCATCTCTGCTTTTGCTGAAACAGGCGACGTTACAGCTCGCTTCACATGTCCTTGGCTGTTATTCCCTATTGCACATTCAACTTCCATGTTATTAGTCAGACACGTTGTTTGCAACAGAAACTCCCTCCTGTTTCAGAAAGCCTCATATGTTTAAACAAGAAGGGGCTCCTGCCAACACCCATACCCTCTCACTCTCTTCTAGCTAATGGGGTAATACATCTAAGGATTCTTGTAGTTCCATAATGGCAGTGTATAACTGCCATGGTTCTGCTTGTAGAGGAAGCTATGAAAAGCACCCTGGCATTAAGCATCTGGAAGGCAAGAACACCCCAGCATGCTATAAAGTGATAGCCCAGTTCCTGGCAGCTCCTCACTTGCAGGAGAATCAGGCATGTATTCCAGATACTCAATACTGCTTTCCCTTGTGTCAGCAGCTCTTGTGAACAGGTCCAATCCATCCAGCCAAAGAGGGCACACACCTTCGATCTCTCAACCATGGTATACTTGAAGGAAGTCACACAAGTTTCAGTCTACATATGTGGAGAATAAAACACAACTAGGCAGACAGGATAGAACCTTGGGAAGGTCCCTCAGGCACATCCTTGTTCAGTCATTTTGTCTGCTAGAGTTGCATCTCTGACACAGAAGTACTCAAGTCTGTGGGCCCAGAAAGGAGCTACAGAAGCCTCCCAGATTTCAGAAGCATGAGACAGGGATACTTCTACATATCCAGAGTCAGCTGAATGGAGCAGGTATCTAAAAAAAAAAATTCCTTTGATTTTATCCATGTGGGCAAATATACTCAAAAGCATGATCGCTGCAACCCAGCAGTCTCTGCTGATGCCTCACAGAGGCTAAAAGAGCATTCTCAGCTGCAATTTCAGTTCTCAGTTTTCCTTATCATGTAGTGAATCCTGAAGGAAAAAGGGAGAGCAGAGAGAGAAAAATTAAAAAGATAGACTTCTCATGTACCCACTTCCCCTTCAGTCCTTACTACGAGGGAAGAATTAAAGAATCTCAAACAACTCTTTCACCCACAGTGCCGGGCAGTGTTACACAGTCCCAACACTACAATAGATATTTGGCTACCAAAAGCTGCCCCACCACATTCCCTCTCTGCAGTTTCATCTCTCCTATCGCTACAAGTTTTAATTTGAATGATCTTCTTTTGGGAAAAGAAAAAGAAGCATCTCAGTGCAAATATCTCTCATCCCAGCTGCACTAGACAGGCTTTGCTAGCATGAGATTTTTTTCCTTTACCTGAGTTCGAAGTTGATGTCGTCTCAGCTGCCTATAGAATTGCAACACAGAAGGATCAGCTCTCACTACTTTTGGGTCAAAATCCAGAACACGGAGACCTGCAAGGCTACGTGCTCTGGAGAGGGCTACATAAGCCTGCCCACTTTCAAAGACACGAGACAGGGAGATTTCCACACAATCCAAAGACATGCCCTATCAAAAACACAGAGAGGTTTGTTACAGAAGAAAGAACACTGTGTTGTATCAACAGTAACCTCCTGCCCTGTGAGTCTGTCAAAGGTACCATCCTTGGTTTACAGGCTTGATTTGAAAGAAAAAAAAAAAAAAAACAAAACAAAACAAAAAAAACCCACAAACAAACAAAAAAACCAACCACAACACAAAAAAAAACCCCAACAAACAAACAAAAAAAACCCCACAAGAACAAACAATCAAAAAAAAAAAAGCAACCTACATAAATCACAAAAACTCTCTTGTTTGACTATAACTGATCAAAAGATAGGACTCAGTGCAAAGAAAAGGACAATTTTCCACCATTGGGAAATTGCTAGTAGACAGTAGGGTCCACTAACTCTCCACTCTAACTCCACAAATCCTATATAATGAATCCTGCTGTTTTCACTCCTAGTAGTTAACTGGAGCAGCTGCCAGCCCCGAGGAGTCCTCAGGCACATCATCTGAGACAGAGTTCAGGCTAGGCCTGGCCAGCCCTGTCTGCACCCAGAGACGTCCAAGGAGAGAGCAGAATTTATAGCATGGCCTGGCTTAAACAGCAGTATGGGAACAAACTCGCAGATCTCCAGGTGTATGAAGTCTTCTGAAAAGGTAGGAACTGTTCCTACTTTATTAGTAGAACTGTATCAGTACACTGAAAAAACAACACCACACACCATCAAGGAGAGAGTCCAGCCCAAAGAGCACAGCTGTGACTCCTGCAGCTCCCTCAGGTACACTGCAAGTCTCAGGGTCACTAATGCTGATGACTATCAGGAAAACACTACCCCGATAAACCCACAGTGGTGAACAATACTGCTTTAGATTTTAACACCATCTATGCAGATAGTAGCACCCTAATGGAAACTCCAGCAGTACTGCTAGCCCATTCTTGACCCTATAGACAAGCATCACAAGTAGAAGAGGTGCTGCCTTCTCTGCAGCTAGACACACATATTCTAGAGGTCCCCCACAACAAGGGCCTTTCAGTTTGCCCTCCTGTTTTACCAGCAATGCAAGCTCACCCAGGAAATAAGGCTTATGATGGTGTAAAAATCTATCCATAGCTGTATAAAATCACCCACCTGACTCTTGTGAATGGAAATGGCCCATGCCAGTTTTAAAGGCAACTGTTGACGGCTCAGATGAAGTCCTGATAGTCCTTTGAAGACCCATTTCTCCATTTTTATGACCTGTGTGATCCCACAGAGAAACCTCACTTTAGGCAGCCCTGTAGGAATGGGAACGGGAAAGAAACAGGGATGTATTGCTGACAACACTTTTGGGTTTCCTCCTTCTCCATGTCAGTATTTCATGAATTTTAGAGGTACAGCAAAAAAAGAAAATCCCACACCAAAAACAAAACAAAGCAAAAGAAATGAACAAAAAACCCCATCCAACCAAAAAAGCTAAACCCACACACAGTAAATACGATGTCCTGAGATTATGTTTGGGACCCACTTAACCAGGAGATTTAAAGTCAGGAGTCAGGTAATTTATCAGTTCAGATGCAGAGAAAAATACACGTTGCAGGTAGAACATTATTCTCCAAGTAAAACAAACGAGGTAGGGAGGATGGGGGGAAAGACCACACCAAAACTTGCTTCAACAGAACAGACAGGAAACATAAGTGAGCATACACAACTAGAGAATAAAGGAAAGCAAACACAAGAGGTTCTACAGATAGCTACAACTGACACAGCACATGACATCACAGCTCATAAGAGCCCTAAGCCTCTCACTGCAGAAAAGACTTCCTCCCTGCTTTCCCTGAAATTATTCTTACCAAGCAATAAACAAAATTAATAAGTCATCAGCTGTCAATGATAAGTTATTTTGGGTTTCTTCCCCCTCATTTTCCTTCAACAAAAGGTCAAGCAGCTTACTTACCCTTCTGCTCACTTTCAAATCCTACAACAACTCCTCGTGCCCCATTCACCAGACCTTGAGACACATCCAGATTCTTAGCCAGCATCACCTACAAAGAAAAAGAAAAATCCCTTAGTGCACTGGCTTTATAGCCTATTCAGCCACCTGCAGCTAAGCTTCTAGCCAGGAGGCTTAAGCATAGCAGGCTGATATGGCCAGGGCCACATCATCCTATTGCAGGCTAGGGCACCATCTCCAATTTGACTGAAATTATTTTACAGCCTTTCTTCCCAGGATTCCTAACTACATCATTCTGCAGCATTGAACACTTCACTTGAGCTGCTTCTGTCCACAGCTGTGAGCTCAGTTCCAGGTAACAGATTGCCCCTCCCTAAACACCAACCAGCCTAGACACAGATTCTGGAAACACCTAAGGAGTAACGTCCTAAGGCAAACAGTGCTGCTGCTAAGCACAATCCTTTCCATTCCAACAGCTCTAGCTCACAGCAAGGTGACCAGTCCTGCAAATTCAGCAAACTGTGACATACCCTTTTAGGTCAGGAGGGCTGCTGTACCTGGAACTGAGACTGCTGACTAATTCTATGAATAAGATTCAAAGCAGAAAGAATACAAATATTGGAATAGAGACATCTGTCAGCCTGGTATAGCCATTCTAAATGTATAGAATGCAGAATCTGTACAATCTACTCTATACGTTTATCTACTTTTCCTTTATTTTTCTTGGGCCATTTGATCTGCTGGTCTTTCACAAACGTGTACACATACCTACCTGAGCTCCAAGCTTTAGCTCAACTCTACCACCCACAGGACACTGAGCATCAATTAACTTCACTAGCATTGGGTCACTATCCAAAGCCTCGAAAGTGTGCACTTCTCCTATTAAGGAAAGACATAATAAATTTCAACACTTAAACACACTCTACACAGCATCACAAGAGGCTCAGCATTTATTTGTAACAGCAGTTCCTCTTTTAACATCCATTGTGTTCTGCTGGTAGGACATCTTCACACAAACCTTGTCACATCTAACAGCAGAAAGCTCACTATGCTCTCTTCCCACCATAATTCCCAGAGCATAAGAAGGCTTACAGATCAAAAGCCAGCTGTATATAAGAACTGAGCAATCACCATTTTGAGTAAATGACCAGTTTCACTTGCAACCAATACCAGATCTCCAAAGAGGACTAAGAGGGAGGTCTTAATTCAAGTTCTGGCTGGATAGAGCATGGCCTTTCTAAGATGCTAGAGAAAGAAAAAGCAGGAGTATGGAGGCAATAAATGACCCAGTCTACCTCACAGCAAGCAATGAGCTGTTTATTACACACCAAGAAGTAACAGTGTGGATTTTTAAGCAAAGCTGTGAAGTTTTTCCCCAGACAGTTCAGCTCCAACACACACAGCTTGGACTGGTGCTGCTGCACATGGCAGAACACCAGGTTCCTCCTGACACCACAGTATCTCCACTACACCCACTCAGAGCTCAGCCCCAAAGCCAGCAGTTTCCTCCAAGGAGTTCACCTGATAGCTGCTGCAAACGTTTCTCATTAGTTATTTCTACATCATCTTTATGGGTGCAGAGCCGCGTGGCCAGGATCCCATCACGCTCAGACCTGTTATCAGCAGTCTGCATCAGTTGTCTGGTAACTTCCTCTGTGCACCTGGTACCCAGGAAAAGGGGATAATTATTTACAGTGATCAGGAACAGGCCATGAGCAGCAATAACCTCCATGTAGCTGGATCAGGCTGTGCAAGCTCCTGTGTGTCTTCTCTAGAGAGAAGAACAGAGAAAGATATCTACACAAAGATGGAAAGCTGTGCCACTGTGTGAACCAGCCCTGCCCTGGACACAGCCACGTTGGGATCCATTGTATTCCTTAGCGGATAGTTGCAAAGAGGGACCCTAGAAAGGGTCCTTCCTTACCAGAGCAGCACATATGAAACCTCCTTACATTAACTAAAGGATTTATAGCTATTGCCCCCAAGAGGTGCATTCCTGACAGAGCATAGAGAAGTGAGCAACCCACTTTCATCTGCTCCATCAGTAGGAAGCAGGGATCACAAAGAGAGACTAATTTCTCCTCACCTGCCTAAACGGATTGCACTCAGGAGTGAGACAAAGGTCTTGTCGGTCTGTCTTCGCACTTCAGTCAGCTCCATGTTTATGTGGATGCATTTCCTCCAGCTTTTTGCCTGGAAAATCATTCTCTTGTTAGGAAAGAAGAAAACCTGAAGTATAAAAATGAGTTAGGGACCATTTTGTACCTGGAAGCAGAATGTGGTTTTTTCATTAGCCTTGCAGACAGGTGGTAGCTGCAAGAAGTCCCCACAGATGATTAGCTGAATTCCTCCAAAAGGTTCATCTCGTTTTCTGACTGCCCTGAAAAGGAAGGAAGAAAGGAGAAGTTCTGAATACTCTCCTGGATACAGTCACATCTCAGAAGATACTTCTTCACTTGGCAGTATATTCAAACATACACCACTTACAGTAAAGCATTATTATGCTCAGCTGTGTCAGAAAAGCTCAAATAATTAAGCAATGCTATCATAGGACATTAAATTTGCTTTGCTTATCCACCCAGACATCATTACCAGACCTGGTTCTTTAGTAGCTGTTATACTACAGCTGCTTCTCTGCAAGACAAAACTGCTGGGCACAGCACAAACAGCTGGATTCTGGATTTGGCTCTACAGGCAACACTTGGCTCCAAAGATGGAAACCCAGGGAGTGTGGACATGATCAAAACCTATCCCAAGATAAAGACCTGCCCAGATGCTGGCTATGATTTCATGCTTCCTTTCAATCGTATGCCAGTGGTTGTCTTGTACCCATTCAGACAACCAGAGAAAGGAAGCAGCTGGGAGATTTAGTGAAATTAATTTCTGTTGTTTGATCTGACAATTGCTCACCTTGCCACTGCCTCCAACTTGTCAAAGAACTTGCCATCCACCATTGAGATCTCATCAATAATCAAGTGCTGGCAGGCCAGCCAGTGCTGGCGCACCCCAGGCCTCTCTGCCAGCTGAATGCACTGCTCCAGCGGAGCCTTCCCAGAGCCAATCCCTGTTAGAGGAGAAGAAACCAAAGCTTTGGGAAGCTCCTGACTCTTTGAAAAGGGAGCAAGGGCTCCCAGCTCCACTGTCGGGCAGAGCATTACCTGCAAAGGCATGGAGTCCCCCCTGCCACTCCTGTGCTGGCTGTAGCATAAGTGGTCTTCGGAGGGAGGGAGCCCACAATCTTCTTCAACAGGAAGGACTTCCCGGTCCCTTGGAGGAGGGAGAAGCAGTAGGTCAGTGGTGAGACCCAAAGACTTTACCCAGTGACAGCCATCCAGCCCCCTCACCTGCA